CCAACGTGATCACAACGCGTCCGTTGCTGCAGTGATTTGCTGAGTGTGCGTCGTGGAGAAGCGCTATCAGGGTGTTGTATAATTTTGTCGAGCGCGATGACATATTGCGAGCAATGGCGAGTAATTATTCGTTTCTTTTTGCTCTCGAGGATTGCGAAATTCGTAAGGAAATCCGCGTGCACGCGTTCTCCTGTCGGAGTCGCGTCATTTGCATTTCGGAATGAGTTCGCCGTCACACCGTCAACCGCTCGTTATCCAGCGTCGGCGCGACTGCTCAAAGACAGCGTGGGTCGCAATCACGCAAGCTACGGAGACCAGGTTTCCGGGCACCCGGGTACAGCTAATGACCAGGGTTCGCAATTCACGGCGAGCTCGGGAGACCCAGGGTTTCACGGGGCACGCGGTGACAGCTAAAACCAGGTTTCGCATCACGGAGCTACGGAGCACAGGGTTTCATGGGCACGGGTACAGCTAAGACCAGACGGTTTCGCAATCACGGGAGCTACGGCACAGACAGTGTTCACGGCCACGGCGGTACAGCTAAGACCGTGTGTTTGCCACACTGCAGAGGCGCCCCCTCGGTGGGTTCATCTCGCGTACCACCGTGTTCCGGTAACGTTCTCGTGGTTTTCCGCCGCCACAGGTTCTTTCATCTGCGAGAGCGCTGAGGGGGCAACGCTAGCTTCACCAGGTTCGACATCTCGTGACGCTTCCACCTACGCAACGGCTCGCGGAGCAAGTGTGAGCTATAGACTGCAGCGCTCTAGGGGGGCGCTGCATACGCACGATTGCGCGTTCGCCCTCCGCCACGTACGGATACAAGCTAGCCGCAGATCCAGTCATCTTTACGCGAGTAGCACGCGAGTCGGCCCGATTCGCGTAGAGGAAAATCGCTAGCCGTAGCGTGTGCAGTTTTTGTTTTCAGGGGCTCAAACGCCGTTTCCTAGGCCCATGTTTAACGTGTAGCTTTACTTAGGTTATCAGTGTAAGGCGATTTTATATTCTTGCTGCGGTTGAAATGTGCCTAGAGGGCATCTTTAGCTGTAAACGTTTAAGCGTGCCTTCCTGATTCCGATACTTTATCTCGTCTTGCATTCGGCGCGCGTGTGAGTGCGTTGTTGCGCGCGGTTCTTCTCGTTCTTCTTGTTGCTCTCTCCTCTATTATGTCTCTCTGACGCTGTGCCGTTCGATCCCTCCCTCCGCAGGAGCGATAACGGGAAAGAAGTGAATTGCCACGATTACGAGGTGTGCAGGGAGATGGCGACGATTTGCGCAATGGCAACGATTCTAGTCGTTGATTCACGAGGTCTAGCGCCTTGCCGGTTTACGTCCGGAGCACGATCTAGATGTGTGCTTGTCCCCCTCCTTCTCTCCTGCTCGCCGAGCCGATGACTCGCCACCTCAACACCACTAACGTCTCCGTGCGTGCGCGTGCGGATGCGTGCGTGCGTGCGTGCGCGTGCCGATCCCAAGCTAATTGCACGCCAATTTAGGATGCGGTGGATGTGCTGTAACCTGCGAGGCATCGCGATAAACCAGGATGTTCCCGGTGGGTTTTTTGGAAGATGATACGTGCTGCTTGTGGCATCGTGTCCGGGTGCATGCGTCTGTGAGTGCGTGCGCTGCGTGGTGCGTGCGGTCGCTGCCGTGCGTTGCGTGCAGTGGTTGCCATTGTGGTGAGTTGCGGGGTGCGTACGTGCATGCATACGAGCGCGGTTGCGTGTGCTTATAACCGTCAATAGGATTTCTGCGGTGAGTTTGTGTCGACTAGCACGCTCCCTGCGCATCTTGCCGTATAGTTGTCATGCTATTGACTAGAGACGAGGGCGCTATACAGAAGAGTCGTCGTATACTGATCGCTGTGAATCGATTCGACCTCCCACGCACGCGTTTTCATGCTAACGTTTTTACGTATCTAGCATTTCCACAGGAAAGCCGCGCACACCATTGTGTGACGTCTAACGCCATCACGCGTATACCGTCACGTCGTGTGTGACTAACGCTGCATGCTCCACTCTTCCTTCTCGCTAACCACCGCCCACTCACTCGCGCGCCCTCTCTCTCTCCCCCCTCTCTCTCTCTCTCTCCTCGTCTTTCGTCTCTCCCTCCTCTCTCTCCCCACTCCCCCCCTCTCTCTCTCCTCATCTCTCTCTTATTTCTCCTCTTCTCTCTCTCTCTCTCTCTCTCTCTTCCCCTTCCTTTCCCTCTTCCCCCTCTCTCTCTATCTCTCACTCGCACGCGGTTATGCAGGGATTTGCTAATCTACAGGTGCATGTGGCGTGCGCTGTGTCTCTTTGTTAAACGAAGAATGGACGGCAGTGAATGTTGTCTGACTTAACGAGGGCACTCACAGGAGTTGCGCGATATGTTCGCTGATGCAATGACTCGCGGTCTGCACTTTTCGTGAGGTAACACCCCCGTAACACTCGTAACCATGCGACCCAGCATTCGCATCGTGATGTTATGATTAATCGCCCCCCCCCCCCCCCCCCCCCCCCCCCCCCCCCGGCGTTGGCTGTCGTAACCGTGACGGACAAGCATCCGAATTTGTATGTTATCGCGCCGTACTAACCATGACGACCCAGCATCGCATCGTGATGTTATATTAAGCGCGCATTGCTTCTTCACCGTGCGACCACCCAACCGCCCCCCCCCCAGCCCCCGCATCCGCATTGTGCATGTTATGCACCGTCGTCACCGGGAGACCGCATCCGCATCGCCATGGATGTTATATGTAATCACCGGCGTTGTGTCGGTCACCGTGACGAGCCCAGCATCCGCATCATTGATGTTAATCCGCGCCGTTGTCACCGTGACGACCAGCATCCGCATACGTTGGGGGATGTATATTAATCGCGGCGCGTTGCTGTACTAACCGTGGACCGAGCATCCGCATCGTGATGTTAAATCGCGCCGTCGTCAACCGTGACGACCCAGGCAATCACCGCGCTCGTGATGTATTAATTAATCGCGGCAGTTGCTGTCGATAACGTGCGTGACGACCAAGCATCCGCATCGCGATGTTAATCGCGCCGTCGTAACCGTGACGACCCAGCATCCGCATCGTTATATTAACGACGGGGGCGGCGGCGGCGCTCGTTCGATCGATCGATCCGCCCGGAGACGCGATTACGTATTTGTTTTCGTCGGCGGCGGGTGTTGCATCGCATGCGCGCGCGTCGCTGTCGATGTCGCAACCTGATGTGACGGTCGGGGGTTTGGGAGCGCCCGCATTGTCGCGTCGCGCGATCGAGCGAGTTTCGCTCGAGGCGTTTGTCGCGTGGCGGTTGCCGTGGCAACGCGGGTGCGGACGTGCTGCGACGACGTTCCTGTCGGGCGCTTTAGAAATGAGACGCGACTGCAGAGAAGGAATGAGGTCAGATGGAAATGCCTAGGAGCTAATGTTATTACTGGGATAGTGTAGCCGTATGAATAAGTCAATGTGTGTGTGTGCGTGTGCGGGGTGCGCATGCAAGCGTGCGTGCGAGCGTGTATACACATATAGTCATGGTTGGTGGCAGACATTGCAGAAAATTCATGGAGTTTGATGGAAAAAAAGACTACAGTTTTGTTGTCGTAACGTCCGGGGGCATGTTGCCTGCATTCCTTCTCTGTGGGGATCAGATCTCTGCATGAAATAATTGTGGATTCATCACCGCATGATGTGCTAGGCGTCCCACGGACAGTCGTGCGCGCGTGTGTCAATCGCGCATGCGTCACGAGCGAATCTAAACTCTTGTTTTACCGTTCGAATGCGCCGCGATCGCGAGGGAAACCCAGCGGCTCTTCATCATTCCCAATGGATCTGTCAATGTAACTGCGTAAGAATGAATTGCCTCGATGTTCCGTCGCGTTAACGTCTGGTCGAGTCGATAAATGAAACGCGTTTTTTTTTCGAGGAATCTCCTCCGAATTGTAACCGTGGTGAAGTGCGATGAGGTAGGTCATTGTTTACGTCGACAATTGCGCGCAGTTCGAATACAGTTCGATATGTTCATTCTATAAAGAACTTTAATTTTTTTTTTTTCTGTAGAGAGCTTAACGGCGTAACTACCATTAATTCTCCTCCGTTCGTTCTTAGAGGTGACTTCGTAGGAGTTCTAATAAACGTGTCGACTACGATTTGACAAACAAATCTACGACAAACGCGTAAACGATGCGCGTTGAACGCTCGCGGTCGTGAGAACGCGCCGGCGCCCGTGCGTGCGTGCGTTAATGTTGCCGCGGCGGTCCTTACAGATTAAGAAGGTCTACGAGAAGGTGGGAGAGGCGACAGAGACGGCGCTGTCCGTGCTTGTAGAGAAGATGAACGTCTACAACACGTCGAAGACCGGCCTGTCGAAGCGCGAGCTTGCCGGCGTCTGCAACCGTGTCATCCAGCAGCAGGTGAGAACTGAACGTAGGGTTCGTTTTATGCCTTGGTGTCCAGCTTGATCATGTACGGCCTGTAGTACTGATGCTTTCAGGGCAGCCGGAAGCAGCACCTGCTGCACGTTCTGACTGCATTCCACCAATTACTCGGTAAAGTACGTTGTCTACGGACCTCAAGCGGACCCAGTCGCGCAGCACCCTTCGGACCTCCTTGGGTTCCTGTTTCAGTTCTGTGCTCTGGAACGAACTACTACTAATTTGTATACGGTAACAGAATTTTCAGGGAGTGACACGGACTCCTGCATATGTCAAATCAGGGAGTCCGACAGTAAATCAGGGAGATTTGATTCCGGACTCACATTAATTTCGCACCCTGCGACTCACACAAGCTGTTTCCTTGTTTTATCGTGCAGGTGAAGAAAGATTTCACTCTGGAGTTCTCGCGTGACCGCAAGTCGATGAGTACTTACGTTACGCCGATCCGCCCCAGCCGCATCGTGCCCGGCCCACGCATGTTCGTCAAGGTAAGCGAGGCGCGACTTGAGACACACAGTGAGACA